CTCACAGTGTACACCGAGCCAAAAAAAGAAGCTAATTAGAAATCATGCATGATCCTAACTATACAAGATGCCTAATGCAACGCATGCAAAAATGCAACTAAAATAGGCTCGGCTATATAAGATGGCATATGAATGCAACACTTGATAACATGCTGTTAAACACATATTCAAGAAAGCGTATTGAAATACAATGCAGTTTGAATGATGCGTCGAGCCCGGTGCATGCAAGACAAATGAATGATGTACACATGCAAGCATAAGTATGCTAATCGAAATATACCCTAACCTAACCATCAAAAGCTGATAAGTAAAAAGGAGAAAGAAATGAGAGTTGGAAGACATGCACACACACACGCACCCTTATTACAACATTGCCCTCTTGACGGAGGGTCTGAATGAATAAGCTAAGCTAATCTAAGCTAAGCTAATCAATTAATCAAATTAAGCTAATTAGACTACACAACTAAATTGAACAACTAGGTACAACTAATTATTACATCACTTTAACTAATTAACAAATTAATTAAGTTACAAACAACAAATGCTAACTAACAAGTAAACATTTAAACTAAGCTGCTCCAGCTCTGTTTGAAGATGTTGAACATGCATGCACGCATTCGGTTTTTCGCCCCGAAAAGCCTTCCAGTTTGCTCTCTTGAGGCTCTGTTTGCAGGGTGTCTTCAAGAACTTGCTGCTGGATCTCACCAAAACAGTACTGAGGAGTGCACCAGTGGCCTGCCGACCATGAATGGTTGTTACCGACCCTCCTGCCGACCAAGGATGCACATTGCCGGCCACAGATGAAGAGGTGTCGGCCAACAATGAGAGGGTGCCGGCCACTGGTGTGCTGTGACACTAAGCTGCAATAGAGCACAAAACAGAGGAAATGGAGTGTCTCCCAAGGGTATGTACGTACTATGCCCTTCCATATCACCTCAAAAGGGAGAGGCACCGTTGGATCCAAGACCATCAATCACGCATCTTGATGCATGACGGCCAAAGATCCAACATGTGCAGATTCAATAAATGCATGACAAATAAGACACTAAGACCACAGCCTTATCATGAGTGATCAAAGGCAATGGAGACCAAAGGAAGATTGGATCATTTTATCACTTCAAGTATGAAATGAGCTAATCCACCTTGTGTTCAAACACAACACCGGGTTGAACACAATGCAATGCAATACAAAAATGTAAACAACATGCAAGAATCATGCAATGCGACAAGCATGCGACAACATGCAGCGGAACAAGCATGCAACAACAACACAATGGAACAAGCATGCAACAACATGCAAAAATGGACTTAAACTAAAATGGAGAGACCTCAATCATGCCCAAATTAGTGGCCAACATGATGAAATGATGGCATGAAAAGTGAGAAAAATGCATGCACATGCAATGGCCCATCACATAGGCATAAGAACACCAACTCTTCAAAGCATTGAAAGAGTGACAAATATGAAGGCATGGCAATGAAACATGCTCTGAAATTACATAACATATGATGCCAAATCAGTCAAATAGGTCAAGCAATGCATGCTAGTGGACTTGATACACAAAGCTAACAAGCTAGGATGAACCGTAGCTATACAAATCATGGCATGCATGGCCAAAACAACAAAAATCAGAGCTTAAGCATGCTAAAACATGTCCAAAAGCTTCTTAGAGTTAAGCCAAAATCATGCTAGAATGACATGTTAAAGCATGATACACATTAGGCTAATTCATAGAATTGCACTACAAGTGCATGGAGCATGCAAGGGCCAACCAAACCAAACCTTAATAGAGGTATGACATGGCAAAACATCACCAAAAACATGTAGAAATAGACTCAAATCATGCTAGAAAGACATGTTACTTCATGAAGCATACAAGACTAGTTTGTGAGAAATACACTACAAGTGTATAAACCATGCAAGGTGTGAGCCCACCAATCAAAATCAGAGTTATAAAATGTCCTAAAAGTCACAAAAATATGCTTGAAAAAAGCTAACACAAGCCACAAAAGCATGCTACTTTGTAAGGCTAACAAGGCAAGCAAAGAGGATTTACACTACAAGTGCAATAAGCATACAAGAGGTGACCAAGACAACCAAAAACAGAGTCATGGTAGGTCTGAAAAGTCACAAAAATGAGCCTAAACAAAGCCACAAAAAAGTAAAAACACATGCTCATTTGGTTGGCCATCAACACAAGTAAGCAAGACAAGAGGAGGGAGGACCACCCCCTCTTATTTTGAGCCTCAAAACAGGCTTTCCACCACTGAAATTCCTCTGGAATTCAGTGGTTTTAAGGCCAAAACAAGATGATTTCAAAGGCTTTAAAAGAAGGCAAGAAGCTTAGCAAATAAGCCACCAAAGAGGGTGAAACACCCTTAACTCCAAAAACACTTTAAATTACCATTTTTAACACTTAAAAAAAAAGGTTTTTTCAGTTGACAACTAGGCCAAAGTCAGCATGAAAAGGTGTCCAAAGTAGTGTACAAAAACAAGCTTAAAAGAGGGAGAACCTCACCTTTGAAGCACAGCAGCAAACAGCCAACAAACAGCCACTTTTCTTGAGCCAAAACCACCTTTAGCAGCCCAAAACAAGTTCCAAAGGACCTCATCCCATAGATATGCAACTTTGGTGAAGGATGCTTAGGCAAACTAGTTGTATTTCTCTACTTCTATGCACAAAAGGGGAAGAGAGAATGAACTATAGAGAGAGAGGCAGAGATTTAGGTCTGAAAATTCTAGAGAGAGGAGTTTTTAGAGTGAGAAGCTCCCAAAATTGCCTTAATGTTCTAACCCTTGAATATGAGATACAAGGCTTCATTATATAGCAAAATACAAGCTTTCCACCGAAAATATCTCAAGAGAGACAGCTGGAGCAAGCTAGAGCAAAATATCTACAAAAAACTGATATTTTCATCAATGGCCAGCACCTTTACCATTTTTTGCCGGCAGCACACTATTGTTGGCCGGCAGGGGTCAGTTTTGGACGGCATTGGCCATTCATGGCCGGCACACTCCCATAGAGGTCGGTAGCAAAAATCAATCCTAGTCCCCGACTTGAAGCAAGCCTAACTCCTTCATCTGGATGTTTTTTTAGGTCATTCTTGTGTGGAAATTGAAGCCCCGGAAGTAAGCTTTCCAATGGTGGAAGCCTAGTATCAAAATTCCAACTGTGATAAGAGATATCTCTCTTTTAGTGAAGACTGCTTAGTTTCGGTCCAACCGGATTGATGCCTAACTTCCAACAACCATATCTCTCCCATCCGGACTCGGCTTGAGGAGATTCTTGAATGAAAAATGAAGCCCCGGAAGTCTTCTTTCCAATGGTGGTCGTCTCATAGCTGAAATCCAAGTGTAAAAATGGATAGACCCGATTTAGTGAGGGCTGCTCGACTCTCTCTTAACGGCTCATGCCCATCTTCTTCCCAACTTGGTTTCTTCCCTCTTCTCCGCTTTCTATTCAATTCCAAACCTCTAAACAAGGTGTTTTGAAAGATTTTTTCAAATATTTCATCTCTCTTTCATTCATTTCCAATTTATCCTTGCTCGATTTACCGAAAAGTGCAACAATTAACAAAATGCGAGCGTCGGAACATCGTAGAATCATCTTTTCAAAAATATTTTGAAAAAGAGGGTTTTAAGGTCTAAAAACCATTCAAAATAGTTTTAGTCCAAAAATGGGGTGTAAGGTTTGGGACTTGACTCTCTCATTGCCGAAGAAATTAAACCTTTGCACTGCACACCTCATCACCAAGCAAACCATCAGTAGCACCTAAGTCTTAAGGGCGGTAAAAAATGGGGTGTCTACAATATGACACAGACGAGCATGCCAAAAATTCATAGAAGACAGCATGTAAACAGAAACATGTGCTTTCTTATTCTCAACATTTAATTTAAACATTCCATCATAGGCATACCCTTTTCCTACAAATATGCCTTTTTTAGTGATTACATATTAGTCAGATTCAATAGTCTACTTGAAACTAGCTTTGTTGAACAAATAACTCGACATCAAATTTTTCCTCATGGACGGTGTGTACAACACATCTTTTAAAACAAGCACACGTTCAGAGGTAAAATTCAGCTCAACATCCCCACACTCGAGTACCTTAGTTAAACTAGAGTCACCAAGTATAACAGTCTTCTCCTAATTAAAAGGAGTGAAATCTTTGAACCAATCTTTATCATAGCAGACATGCCTATTGGCACCAGAGTCTGCCCACCACCTTTCCACAGATTGAACCATAAAAATATCTGTGATCATAGCCACAAATGGTTCCTCGGTAACATTAGCCTGTGGTCGAGACTGTTGTTTTTGAAATTTGCAAGTTAATATGCCCACTTTTGCCATACACAAAACATGTCACGTTTGTCAGATCTTGTGAAGGGGGTTCTTGGTTCCATTTCTTTTGCCTCGGGTAATTTTTATTTTGTGGCCTTCTAGTATTTTTCTAGATTTTCTTAACTGGCTTCAAGTGACTATTTTTATGAAAACGACTTTTAGGTAAAGTATTTCCAGAAGTTAAATTTACCTTTGCAGTGGAATGCTCTTGTGTCATAAGTGCATCTTGTCCTCGTGCTTTCTCCTCCACTCGAATCCGTGTGATTAGAGTCTCCACGGACATCTATTTTTCTTGTGACGCATTGTCTTATGAAACTCCCTCCAGGATGATGGTAGTTTGTCAACAATACCTACTACAACAAGATTGTCTCCAATTTTGATGCCTTTGGATCTAACTTCAGCCACTAACATTTGAAAATCTTGAACTTGCTCCAGTACTAATTTTCCATCTATCATTTGATAGCGGAAAAAACGGCTTGCAGCATATTTTTTAGCGCCTGTCTCTTCAGTGTCATATTTATTCTGCAAGGCTTTCCAAATTTTCTTGGCAGTGGTGTAAGTAGTATCATAATAATCATAAAATTGATCTGAAAGACAATTCAAAAGGTAATATCGATATTTATACTCATCTGTGTTGTATTTCTCAATTTTTTCAAGATGAGCAGCATACTACTTGTTGGTCATCTCTTCAGTGGGGACTTTGTTCAAATTTTTCTCGGTCAGGATATAGGCCACCTTGAGGAGACTGAGGTAGAAAAGCATCTTGCCTTTCCATCTCTCGAAATGGGCTCCCTTGAACTGGAAGGGCTCGTTGAGATCGCCGGTATTCTCGTTGGGCTAGTACTAGCTCCATGAATTTTTGCTATTTGAATCTCCTTAAAATTGTTGGTGATAATTACAAATAAAACACTAAAAAATACAAATTAAAAAAAATTACAATAATTATTGAAAGGGTTGAGGCGCGAGAAATTCGCTCTCTTTAAGGAGATTCAAGCCCTCTGCGGTTAGGCAAAGCCTCACACTGGTGCAGCAGAAAAAAACTTGACTTGTCCCCTCCATGATACAATAGCCCGACTAAGTTGTACGGTTAACCAATACTGCACAATTGGTTGAACCCAAAGCTTTACACATACACCCTTTTTTATTTGCTTGATAATCTCACAAATAAGAAACTTGAGCTACAATAAGAGAGGTGCAAGGCTCAATTTATAGGAGAGGAAACTGAGTGGACAAGATTCTTGGAGGAGAAGAAGACTTGACTTGGAGACTTGACTTGGAGAATTCTTGAAGGAAAAGTATAAGAAGTTGCTTGGAGGATTCTTGGTCACCAAGAAAAGGATTAACTTGGAGGAAAAGAAAACAAATCAAACCAATAACACATTATAATATTAAAATATCTGCTAGCAATAGATAACAATTTGACTAGTCAAAAACCTTCTTGAACCATTCTGGAATTTAAATTAAAGATTTGTTATACGCATTAATTTTTGAAGCCTGAAAATATAACTGACGATATTACCAAAAAAAGAAGATTTAACTGACCATTTTATTTTATTTCATTGTTATTTGGGGCAGTGTTTTCTATAGTGAAAGAAGGCTAAAAATTGAAGCAGGATCACTATACCTGCCCAAGGATGACGAGTTGAAGCCACAAGGGGATGATGCTCACTTCATCTATACCAAGAAGCAAACAATTGGCTTGGCAAATGGTGTTGGTGGTTGGACTTGGAGGGGTGTGGACTCAGGCGAATATGCTCGGCAGCTCATGACTAACTCTCTTATTGCACTTCACAACCAACCTAAGGGAGCTGTGAACCCCAAAATGGTTTTTTTTTTAAGCTTATTCAAACACTAAGGCTCAAGGATCATCCACAGCTTGCATTATTACTCTCGATGGACATGTATGCAACTCATCTTTTACTTTTACTTTGGCTTAATTGTAATTAGTATCTTAAATTTGAACTTTTATTAATTTAATTTTTGTTTTGTTTTTGAATTCCTCCACTTTCAATTGTCACTTGTACTAGAACTTAAAGTGCCATTTTTAAGGCCACTACCACTATTGCTTTATTTCTATACATGCATTGCGTTTGTGTATAACTTTTTAGTGTATATATATAATTTATTATATTGCTTGTTTGTCCAGATCCTGCGTGCAATTAATATTGGGGACAGTGGATTTACGCTCATTCGACATGGCAAAGTCATATATCATTCACCGGTTCAACAACGGAGTTTCAACTGTCCATATCAATTGGGAAATACCAAGGACCATCCAAGTTTAGCAATGGTTCATGAATTGATCTATAGATATATATATCTTAATTGAATTCCAAGCTTGTTCGTAAATTAATAAATCTTAAATCAGTGTTTTTCACCTTTCTCTTTTATCATCTCCTATTATGCTAAATTTCATAAATTTACACTTTAAATAGGAGTTGGAAGTGGAAGTGGAAGTTGAAGAAGACGACATTGTGGTAGTTGGAACAGATGGCTTGTTTGACAACTTGAGTGAAAGTGAGATTGAAGAGATCACAAACCATGCTGTCTAAAAAGGCCCACGACAATTGGCTTGTTTGCTTGCCAACCTTGCATTGTACAATTCGTTTGACAAGTACGCTGATACGCCTTTTGCCCAGGCAACTAGGAAGGCAGGGTGTTCATGCGTAGGAGGTGTAAGAGGAGCTAATTTAAGCCCACTAAATTATTTAGGCCCAATAGCCCAAGATTAGTGGGCCCGAATTTATCGCAAGTCCAAGATCGGTGGGCCCAGATTTATCGCCATCAAACGGGCTGAATCGCTCTAAGCCTCGAAGGGGTTCGGATCCACGAACTTAGAGACTTAGAGACTTACTCGGGCCCGGACTCGAAAGGGTGTTGAACAAGCCTAGAGATCCGAGGCACTCGGACTCGAAAGGATTCGGACCTACGAATCTAGAGATCCGAAGCACTTGGCTTCGAACGGATTCAGATGCAATCTAGAAGCCGCTCCGTTAATGAGTCCCAGAACACTTGCGGGCTCGGAGCTTTCCGGGATCTACGCACCAGAACCATGGGCGTAATGGAGTTCGAACAAAGGACCCGATCCCGAGGACGGTGAGTGGAGATAAATTCACTCTTCGGTTAAACTAGCCTATACCCGGGTCGAGGTGGCACTAACCTCGTCACCAAGATAGCGCTCCTCCTCAGCTATGGTAGGGCGGTGATGACGCATACGTGGAATAAGGTCACAAAAATAGTCGGAGGACTCAGCCTCATCATCATCATCATCTATAACTGCTATACGAGAGGTGCGCATCTTCACAAGTCTTGCAGACAAAGGGAGGGTGTCGTCCAAGTCTGAGTCCGGCCTGGTAGAGGCAGCATGGCCAGTAGCCACGGTACTGAGAACGTCAACAACCGCAGGATCCTACACAACATGGGCAAATAAAAGTTTTCATTTTAGAAGGTATAGTCGCAAGAAGGAAAGTAGCTTCAAATCAAAAATTTCGGGTACCTCA